GTACTTTATAACTCACCCCATGCCAGACTGCTCTTCTATTCCAAGACTTACTCCTCAGTCTTCAGCGTCTTAACACAGCTGAACTGCAGGAATTGCTGCCTTCAGACCCACGCTCCTGCCTCGTCATTTGTCGGCCTTCACCTCAGAACTGTGTATTTCCTAGTGTATTATAAGTGACTGTTTGGCCTGTGTTATTTTAGGCTGCACTTGGCCACTCACACACCCACTCTACTGACTTCACAGTGGGGCTTTAATCTGTGTCATGTCCACTGATCAACACTGCAGAGGTTCTCCTTCGTACACAAATTCACATCCTTTTGAGAATTCTACTCACATGTCCACGTAGATGTACTGTATACTTCACCATTGGACATCCCTAACAGCAGAAGGAAAACTGATATTTTCATCTAATTTCTTTTGGTGCATGTGAATATAAGGAACATAAAAAACACCTGCACATCTTTCACTGACCGTTCATAATACTAATGACGTTATTGGCTGACAGCAGGACCAGGAAACGATGTGAATTGAATCGTTTACATGAAGGCCGTCTCGTTAGAGGAAATGTCTCCAAGTGAAATATCAATAAGCTCCACAGTGGTGTGGTGTTAGCCTATAGAATGCTTAACTACAGCAGGTGATTACATGTGTCCGTGTGTATATGCTACTCACTCGTGGTGTTTATTCAGGTCTTGTGAAAAATATTTTTAAATGTAAAAAGACAAAGTGGAATTTGGAGTTTAACCTTATGTAAAAGAGCGGGGAGAGAAAAAAAAACAACCTACTTTTTGTCCTACAAAGTGAGTAGATAAAAAGGTTTAAAATCAACACCACTCATCTGGAAAATCAAAGTATTTGTCTTTCTGAAAATGACTGTGAAAACAGAGTCCCTGACCGGCTTCTTCTGAAGTGAAAGTTAAATAACAGAACAGCTCAGTGATTTCCTTTACACAAATCTGTAACACATACGTAGACGTGTGAGCCTGTGACCTAACCATTCTTTAAATCTCTCTACACAGTGGGATGCCATTAACGAGATGGATGAGTATTTCACTTCCATCCACACGTATCAGGTTTGTAAGCCTTGAGGTTTGGTTTTGATGTGTTTTATCAACTCAATAAGGTTACTGCATCTGCTGTTTTCATTGAAAAGAAATCCATGGCTAAAGCATTTCCACATACAGACATACATTTAAGATGCAAAAATAGAAAGTTACTTCATGGTTTACAAAATTCCATCTTTCTTCTTTCGTCTGCCAGTGTACAAAAATTATAGACATCAAGTTTGATTAAACGTGCTCCTTTGCTGATGTATGAATCAGGTGTGTAACGTGATGAGTCCTAGCCAAAACAACTGGCTAAGGACGGGTTGGATCCCTCGGGAGGGAGCCAGGAGGATCTACATCGAGGTCAAGTTCACCCTGAGAGACTGCAACAGCATGCCGGGAGTACTGGGTACCTGCAAGGCGAGTGTGTGTGGCTGTGTCTAAGAGAAAACATTTATTGTGTTCCACTAACAGCACTTATTCATCATTTAACTAGAAAAATGGAACATATTAAGGGCAGTTGTATGAAGCAACAATAGACCTTTTAGCCTATTTTTTTGGCCGTCGTCCCAGCATCAGTTCTTGTTCAGTTCTTAGATACAGGGGCTGGTCCGCTGAAGTAACCTCCTTCTAGAATAATGTTTCGATTTTCTGTATTGACCAGTGATTATAATCTGTGATTATTATCTATACGTCACTGTGTGTGTGTCCAGTTAGGACATGTGTAGATATGAGTGTGAACAAATTTAACGAACACTGAATGTGTCGTTCAGCAGAGGTAACAAAGCAGACATTTGACACAAGTGGATTTATTTTTAATAAATTCTAGGAATGTTTTGGTTTTGGTCTATTTAGTCTGAATCATGGCTCCCATATTTACTCCGAGGAAGAAGGGGCTCTGGGCGTTCGTGGGTTGTTTGTTGCACAAATCTGTCATCACGGCAACAGAATAAAAACACACTTGTCTTGAAGGAGCGCAGCAGTGGCACATTTCCAAACAGGAAATTTGGAGTTGCCCCCACAAC